TTTCCTTTACTTTAAATATAAATGTAAGAGTTGAAACTAGCTTGCGAAATCAAAGAAAAATAAATAAAAAAAACCTTTTCTAATTTAATAAACAGATCTCGAATTCTGATGTTGAAATAAAACGACAACTGAAATCGAGGCAAACTATGACAAAGAGTTGCTAAAAATAGCATTTATTATCAAAAGTTAATAAAAGAAATCGACTGTTAGTTTAAAAGATTTTTTAAATACTAAAGAAGCTATTTTTTTTGTTTATTATCGAATAAAGTTACCAAGATAGATCAAAAGTATTAGGCTGGTACAAAATAAATAACTTTGAAATTTATTCGACAAGTAAACAACGTTATTAGGGACTAAGTAATAAAAAAAAATTCTTAAAAAGTTCTATAATGATTTCAATTGTTAAAAAAGAAAATGGTACGTGTCATTTACATACGCGTCAGTAAATACGTGTCACCAGGGCCGGCGCGAGTAAGTGTCACGTGGGTGTGTGTGTGTGTGTGTGTGTGGAGGTGCCATTACAACTTTTGCCGAATAAAAAAAAAAAAAGGTCCTCGTTTTTTAAAATTTGCTGACTGCCATAACGACATTTGCCACTGACTGTCTTAATTTACCGACTAACCTGTCGAAAGAGTCTACATTTGCCGACTAACTAGTCAAAAAGGGTCAATTTGCTGACTAAATGAACGAAAAAATCATTGATGGGGGATGGGGGGTATCACACCGCACAACACACCCCCATCGCGCCGGCCTTGCATGTCAGTTACATACGCGTCGTATATGTCATACATGTCAGTTACATACGCGTCATACATGTCATATATGTGAGTTACATACATGTCAGCTACGTACGCGTCTACATTACATTACGCGTCAGTTACATACATACATGTCAGTTACATACGCGTCTACATTATATACACGTCTACATATTATGATCCTAGATTCTTTTTTAATAAAAAATATATAAACTTGAAAGTATTAACAACTCAAAAAAAAATTCATTGAAGACGACTAAAAAATTAGGTCAACCAATGTGGGTCCAGGATTCAGATTTAGAAACATATGACATAAGACTTAGTTGATTTCCAATAGACTCACCTCTATATGTATTTTCAAGTTGTCAAATCACATTTAAAAATTGTATCAAATATACAAGAACTATCTAAAGACCAAAAACTACAAAAATTGATTTTAGATTTTTACCTTTAGGAGAAGTGAGTGATCGCAAAAGGACATTATTCCAAAATGTTCATTTTCTTTTAAAAAAAGATGTTAAATATTCATTAGATAATTAAAAAAAAAAACAGTTTTACAAAATATATCAAAAAAATGACTAGCAATACAAAGTAACTAAATTATCTTTAGAAATGTTTCATAATTTATATATTAAAACCAAAAGTTTTTTACAGCCTTAAGTGTATTTACACAAAACTTCAATATATCCTACTTTGAGCCTGTTGCTAGAGAAATTTATAAAGATGTTATAAAATACAAGCTTAATCATTCTATAAAAAAGGAATGCAGTTGTTATACAACCTAAATTACCCTGACTTGCAGCATAGCTGGATGGTGTGTAATTAATGAAGAAATTGATAATAAATTTGGATTTACAGAAATATGTTCTTGGTCAAAGAGTAATCATACACTCAAAGAATTCATACTTGACTAATCTTTTTATGTTATAATAAAAAATAATAATCAGTCTTGTAAAAAAACATGTAAATGGATATAACACTCAAACAAAAATTGCTGTTGGCAACCAAGAATTTGTGATTTCATTGTTTATAAATTTAAAGAATGCTTTAGTATTCGAATTCTTTTTGATATAATGTTTTTTAAAGATGATGTAAATAAACTTATTTTATATCAGACATCTTTTACCTGTTGCCGCTGAACTTGAGACTCAAGTTCAATAAAAAAAACTTGTCTCATACAAATTTAAAAATTATTTTAGTTTGAAAAAGTATAATTAAGTTTTTTCTGTATTATCTTTAAAAGGGGATTAAAAGTTTGAAGTTTGAATCCTTGATGTAAGTACTTTTATTCAGAAATATATTTGATTTGATTTTGATTCGAAGAAGACAAATAACTGACCAAATTTTAATTACCCTGACTATGCAAAGATAATTTCATTACGAACTATTTTAAACAACTTTGTTCTTTAGATAGTACGATGCATATTTATATTCATACAGATAGTTTGGGTCTTTTAAACCTCAGCTAGTGTAAATTATTTCGAACCTTCTAAAAGTAAAGGAAAATTTAGTCGTTCTCTTATATTTGCTAATTTCTCTTTAATTGGAATATATCTCTGATTAATGAGTTAACTTTATTCAAAAGATTTTTTTTTTTTTAAAAATACGCTTTTATTTCTTTATTTGATATTGATCTAGGATATAACCGAGTTTCAAATGTTATAAACAAAAGATAAAATGCAAGAAATACTCTTATCAATCCTCTGTATGTTACATAACTTTTTTAACTTGAAAGCATGAATCTCTGAATATTTAAGGATGAACAAAACTACTGTTTGCAGTTGTTAATGCACCTTAATACTTGAGTAGGTTTGCTCAATTGTCAATTTGCACTCTAGAAGGCTAAATAGGTATTATACCTGGTATAAAACACAAATAATTAATCCAGGACATTTTGTCTTGATATTGTTGATTTTGATAACTTAAAAAACCATTCAATATGATTTAAAATCCAGTATCCAGTAAAAAAAATCAACAGTATACCAATTTAGTATCCAGTAACAGTATACCAATTTAGTATCCAGTATAAACAGTATAAAAAAAATCAACAGTATACCAATTTTTTGAATTAAGAAGGAAAAAACTGATCAAGTAAATATAACTTTGATTTTGGACCTTTTTTTACAACGCGGTTCATATTTTAATATTCATCATGGAGCTTTACAAGGTTGTTTATTTTAAAATATTTATTTTCACAAACTTTTTGTATGCAGCGATTGATATAAAAATATACCACTTTTCATTTTAGAGAAAATTTCGTTTTCTAAAAACTGTTATCATACTGCAAATCTTCCTTTTTTAAAATGTTTTCTCTTAATACAAAAACAGACGGGATCGCATGTTTATGAAGTGCTTGTCAGAATAAAGTTTGACGATAATATCACTTATATAAAAATGAGACTCTTAGACTAAGGTATACTTCATTTTAACATTAAAATTATTTACTCCTCCTTGTTGTCGAGTGTTAATAGATATATTAATTCACTATTTTAACAATTAAGGTTTGCTTTAAAAAAAGTTAAATAAAAAGTCAATATTCGTTTAATTTTTACGTTTTTTAAACCAAACATTTTTATACATTGGTACACAGCAGTACTGACCCACTTCACTTTCTAGTCGCCTAAAACATCTTTATTTGCAACTACATTATTTAAATCAAAAACTAAATTTTTTTTTTAAATAAAAATTAATAAAATGAATAAAAATACAATAATAATCATCAAAACAGTCAACTTTATTGTAGCAACAAAAACAAAAAAAAGTTAAAAGTTTTCCTTTTTTAAATTTAATATTTTTTAAACAAAAACAACGTTTTTTGCGTTCAAATGCTGCTCGTTAATTTTGTTTTGAAGTGCACAAGATATCGGTTTAAAATATTGCGCTCATGTAAACAATAAGTCAGTAAAAGGCTTATTTTTTGGAGTAACTAAATACTAGTGATCAAAAAACTTTTGTTTATAAATCAAAAAAGATCAAAAAAGTTTTGAATATATTAAAAAAATTAATAGGTTGCACAAAAAGTTAACTTTATTTTTAAGTATTAAGTTAAAGTTAAAACAAACACATTGTTTGTGTTGTTCGGAAACAAAAAAAGTTGTTTTCCAAAAGTTTAACTTTTAAATTCTTATTAAACTTAAAGGTTTTCAGATTTGTGATATTTATAGGTTTAGATTGTTCAGCTGTGCCCCGAGTTTAACTGTGTGCTATTCCTCTTTTAAAAATTGAAGATTTGACTGTGACACTCTCCTCTACTTAAAAAATTATTGTAAAGACTTACGTCATTCGATTAAATGATAAAGTTATACAAAATAACAAATTATAAAATGTCATAAATTATAAGAAATAAAATTAAAAAAATTAGTATAAAATAATTTTATAACAATAGTTATTTGGAAAAAATATTTAAAACAGTTTCAGTAACATGAACCGTGTACGTAGAAAACATAAAACGCACACTCTCATTGTTGCCGTGTTCGTCAACAGGCATTTATTCACGGTTTACTTATTAGACGTTAATTCATTTCTTTGAGTTAGCTGGAATTTTTAAAAAGATTCGTAGACGCGACAGTTATTTTATATAATACTAGTTAAATAAGTATAATTCAAAAATGCAAACGCCAATAATTTTTTGAAATATTTACTTCGTAGAAAATGAAGCCAATTCGTTTATTATATATATATATATATATATATATATATATATATATATATATATATATATATATATATAAAAAGGATTAATTTTACTTTATCGTTTTTAATTCTTAAGAATAGTGTTTTTAGAAGCAAAAAGAATTAAAAAAAAGAACGCAAAATAAAAAAGATTTCGAATCCAAGAATACGGTACAAAAACATCAAAAATTTCTAAAAACACGTTTGTATAACAAACTTATTTTTGATGTTTTTTAATGTACAAAAACATAAAAACACGTTTGTATAACAATACCACAACGACGCATTTTTATTTACGCAATGAAACCGGTTCATTTCTTAACTTAATTTTCTCTTTAATAGACTTTTAACGTCTGACAGGATTTTGTATAATGACCAAATATTAGACATTGAAAAATATTTATATTATCAATAATATTTCTTTAAAAAATTAATATTTAAGAATATTTGCTAAAAAACAAAATAAAAATAAATAAAGAAACAAATTGTCAAATAAAAAAATTTTTTTTTTACACTTTAGCTTTTTAGGTCAAAATTCTTGATATAATCGAATCGTCAAAAAAAAAAAAAAAAAAAAAAAAAAAAAAAAGTGATTCAAACAAACAAAAAAAGTATATAGAAGTTGTAACAAAATGTTTCCGAAATGCGCAAAAAAACTTGATTATAAATATTTAAAAAAACTTTAATTGGTTAAATATACGTTTCAATATGCCTATTTTAATGCATTTGTATTTAACATGCATTACTTTTTTAATTTTTCTAGAGCTTGGACTTCCGTGCAACAAGCTAGAAGTCGAACGTAAGGTGACGCAGGATTGTCTATTTTGCCATTAAAGAATTGAAAAAACTGTTTTCTCTGCGCTGAGTCCAGTTTCTAGAATAAGCAAAAATTACTCACTAAAAAAAGTTATAAGATGTTGGTAATCGAGCCATAAAATACTGGTAATCAAGTCATAAAATACTGGTAATCAATCTTAAAATAAATCAACAAAAATTTAACCTGAGGGAATCAACAAAAATTTAACCTGAGCCGTGTAAAAATCTAGCGCAGCAATGTAAAATATTTCTTTATCTGCTTCTTCCAATCTTCCTTTATTTAACACAACATATGGGAAACTTCAAAATTTTTTGTTAATGAAAAGTTTTAAAATAATTGACATTTTTATTGAAAATATCATCAATAATTTAAGCTTTATACCCCCTCCCCAATAAAACAAATCTCGCACGTAATATTTCATCAATTCATATGGTAATGCACATCACCCAATAAATAGTAATATATTTTAATTTTCCCAAAATATCAATTAAATGAAATTAAAATACCATTACATTAGGATTAAAAAGACAGGAAGTTTAACAATGGTCATCATGCAAAGTGATCTGGATTACATACGAGTAAAGAGATTATACTGAAACTCAATTGCATTATTTGAAGACCTATTATTTTGCAATGCAAAAAGGATACAGAGATTTTAGCCAAGGATTTGAGGAGGCGCAAATAAAGAAACACGTTAAACTCCAAACAGCCATTGCCAAAGGTGTTCTAAATACAATCCGTAGGTTTTAAAGTATAAAAGTATTTAGACAAAAAAAAAAAAACTATTAAAAATACATCCCATAGTTTTCATAGTAGTTTACCTAAAAAAATGTTGTTAGATTAAATATTGTTAATATACAATGTGAATATATAAACAAAACAAAATATGAATAATAAGTGCTATGTTTTATTGAAATATCGTAACCTTTGAACAAAGCTGGCGATACATAAAAACACCCAATCTCTGACGGTCACCTCATTTCCTTCCTTTTGTAGAATGTCTGACACCTTAAACAAACAAAAACAACTCAAAGAAATTTTAAAAATTTTTGTGCTTTTGTGAATGTTTATTTTAAAACAATAGTTTTTTTACCTTGTAAAAAATTTTTGCAATGAGCTCTGGTCTTGGTTGCTGACTAGACAAAAACTCGCTGATGAGTTTGTTCATAACCTCTTGCACTGGAAGAAAATCTAGTAAAATTCTAGGTAGAATGTTTGCCAAGAGAGTGGCTTCGCTGATTTGACCCTTCCTAATTCTAAATGATACTTTTTTTTTTCAAAGAAAACAATCGCTGTTTAAAACTTTGTAAAATAAATACATAAATTTTAAAAAATAATTTTATAAATACATATTTTTAAACTTAATTAAAGCGACTGCAAAACGAATTTTAAAACGAATCTAAAAAAAATTCACTTTATAATATTTTAATTTTTTAATATTCTTAAAAATTCACTTTTTAATATTTTAACTTCATTAAGATATAATTGTAAATTTTTATTAGGGTTGTTTTAAATATATCTTTTGCACAGGTAAGAAAATAATAAAAAAACTGTCATAATCATTTATATATTTTGTGTTAAAGATGTATGTAGCTCAATGCGAAATCTTTCATAAACAGTCTCGTCAAAAGATGCAACAGGTTAAGCTTATGCAAGACAGCAATATTCTCGGTGTCAAAGACCAAGCAAATATAATCGAGCGCAATTAATTACATCAAACAATGTATGTCACAATGAACTCGATATTGCGCCAAATTAAATTTCTAAGGCAGGATAATTAAAAAATTTCCAATAGTTAAATCATAGAATATCACACCATTAGTATTGGAAACATACATGGTTGAACCTAATAATTAAAGAAGTAGCTTTTAAGCATTATTTTTAATCTATATAAGTAAAAGCAGGCTTTTGATAAAACTACGGCGAGGTTATGAAACTCATTTAATAACAAACTTGTCTAAGAATGGAAAATTACAGCCAAAAAATTTACTATGCAGATCATGTCATGCTTAAAAAACTGTCATATAAACAGTTGTAACAAAAAAAAAAATTAATATATATACATATATACATATATATATATATATATATATATATATATATATATATATATATATATATATATATATATATATATATATATATATATATATATATACATATATATATATATATATATATATATATATATATATATATATATATATATATATATATATATATATATATATATATATATGTATATATATATATATATATATATATATATATATATGTATATATATATATATATATATATATATATATATATATATATATATATATATATATATATACAAAATAATAAAAAACCAATACTATAATAAAGTTTTTTTTTTGTTGAATACTATTATCAATTGACAAAACAGATAGATTAATGGTCGATCTGATAATAAATAATAGCTATTCAACAATTTTTTTCCTTCAACCTTTTAATAAAAAACGAGAATAAACTTATTTTTAAAAACCTTTAATACTTAATGAAAAATGAGAACAAATTTCGATTTTTTTTCGTAATAAATAGACACTATAATAAGGGGTTACATGAAATTTCTTTTTAGAACAGATTCAAAAAAGTAATTTTGTTAAAATATTTAAATAAAAATATAAATTTTTAAATTATAAATATTTAATAAAAATTGCGATCTTAGCCAATTGATTTATCATGATTCAAAAATTCATAAAGACTGTTCAAAAGCTAGTTTATTTTTCTTTAGTTGAGATTTTTAAAGACAAACCTTGTTTTATGTTTTGAAACTAAAATCTCCCGTGGGAATTGAAAAACTAATTAAAAAAAAAAAATTAATGCATTTTAACAACTCGTATAGAAACACTATAAAAACAAAATGTTTCGTCATATTTTATTTTTTTTAGTTGATGAACAACGCTAGTTAAACTTTCATTAAAAGTACACGAGTAAAGTAAATTAAAAAAAAATTAAAGAAAATAAAAGATTAAAAAAACAAAAACAACAACAACAAAAAAAAAAAAACAATAAAAGGAGTTCATTTATGATGTCACAACCACCAAACGCTAATTCTATTTCCATTAAAAGATTACGTTGACACTGGCGGCCCAAACAAGATTAATGCTTATTGCTTTCATGTTAACTATCAACAAATAAATAACATTTTTGAGGTTATATTAAAGTATTGTCTTAGTAGAGTATAAATAGAGATCATTTAATCATGCGCCACAACATCAATGAATTTTATTTGCTATCAAGACCAGAAGCAACAACAAAAAAATAGAATCAATGTGTGTTTAGTAAACTAAAGCTGTTATTGACAAGCGAAACATTTACATTAAACATTGAAATATCAAGAGAAAAAAAAGATAGTGTTATTAAGTTTATTTCTTTACGCTTTTCATTAGAAATGGACATTGCAAAAAATTGGATAATCATCGACAGAGTTACTTGCACTACGAGTACTGTAACCACTGCACGACCTATAACATCTCACACACAAAGCCCTTTAAATGCAACAAAACGAAAAGCAACAAATGAAGAAGATTGGCCATGCAAACAGAAAACAAAAAAACAAAAAGAAAACGAGGAGTGTATAAATGATTTAACGTTGGAATATAAACCAAGCAGCCCTTTGTATAAAAATTTTGGAAACGGATTGACATTATGTAATAACACAAAAACAAATATATTTAAAAATATTGACGATGTTTTACTTTATATAATGCAAACAAACGAACCAATAAATTTGGATGAAAAAAATGACGTAATATGTGATAAAAATATGGGTGTGGATATATTCAAAGAATTGATCGACGAGCTACATCATATTAAAGAGCTCCCTGATCTTACATTTGATTTATGGGGTTTGTGCAACAGTTAAAATATTTTGCATTCAACTTGTAGAGATGCATCTATTACAAATATTAGTAACAAGTTTTATTTGTTACTGATATCACTTTGCTGCTTAAATGACATAAAAACCGAAACCGTTCATAAAAAATAGAAACCGTTGATAAAAAATAGAAACCGTTCATGGAAAAAGATACAAGTTAGTAAATTTAAGACCTAAAAAATGAATCGGATTTCAACTGATAATCATTAAAAATAGTTTGTTACTGAATTCTTCATAAAACAGTCATCTTTTACGTTGTTTTCGAGTTTAATTAATAGCTAATTATAATATTTCTATTATTTAAACATAAGGACCGGATATTTAAAAGATTTCCGTAGTTTAAGGGCGTTGAACATTTGATTCCCCTTACGATAGCTCACAGCACGAAATATTAACGTTTTATTTTTCTGCAGCACGATTATTGGAAGAAATTCAGTTTTACACTAACACTAAAAGTTCTTTACACTGTATATATTAATAATATTATTTTACTTGTTAATAGCTGTATTTATTTAAAAAGTATAACTATTTTATAAAAAATTTAATATTTTTATTTTCTTATATATATATATATATATATATATATATATATATATATATATATATATATATATATATATATATATATATATATATATATATATATATATATATATATATATATATGGGATTGCCGTTAGGTAGTTTTTTCATTTTTGCTTTTTAAATATATTTATATGAGTATATAGAAACCTCGCCAGTAGGACGTTAATTCTTTCCATCATTATTAAACGAGATTCAATAGAAGCATCACCAACGTCAATATTTGTTAACACTGATGCATATTCTGCATTTTTTCCTAAAATAAAAAAAAAAAAAAAAAAAAAAAAAAATTAAAATTGAGTAACAATCTGTTAATTATCGATAAAAACATTAATATAAACACTAACTACCTTAATGAATAAAATGTAGTTTTATAGATTATCCTGGCTTAATTAAACTTGATTTAGCTTAATTTAATCAAATTAAGTATGCTGTAGAAATATTTATTTTATCACGAATGCGCTATTATTTTTTCATCAGTTAATATACAGATCATAAAAAGATTAAAAATATTCAGTGAACACTCTAAAAGCCGATATACACTTTCTTTTTAAAAAAACAACGTTTATAGAAATATTAACTCAATAAAAGTGACAAAAATTTACAATATATAAAACAAACTTTACCTGTGTACATGCATGCGCATAACAGACTTAATGCAGGGAGACATTTTCCCGTCGTTCCATTTACAATACTATCATAAAATATATTGCATGATAAAAATTGTTTATTTTATAAATATGTACTCGGAAAACTTTCACCTCGTTCTTGACAAAGAAAAAGAGAGACACAATAAGGATTTAATACATCAATTAACTGTTTTGGTTTGGGGAAGGTTTGGAATTGGTAACTTGCACAAATGAGAACTTTTATTTACAATTAATGCCGCCGGGGAAAATTAACTAGGTGAAATTCTCCGGGTAGAAAAACAATATACCACTTATAAATTTAAAAATATAGATTGAAACAAAATTTTACCATTGAGCAGACAATTTAGCAAGCCGTTCAGATTCGGTATTAGTTAAAGAAAACGAAACTGCTAGCCTCTCGAGACCACGAAAAAGTAAGCAATTGACTTCAGGGGTATTTAAGTCGTCAACTTTACAGAGTTCACCACTCGCACTCTAATTAAAAAAAACTATTTAATGAGCCTAAAAATACTAAACTATTACAAAACTAATTCATAGTGTGTAAAAAATTTTAAAATAGACTTTCAAAATTACGCCGAAGAAAATACACAAAGTTGAAAGTGTTTTTTGATCAAAAGTTGCAAAAGTGTACGTGTACAAAAATCTATGTGCACGTGTAATGTACACGTGTACACAAGTCTATGTGAAATAGCATATATGTTTGAAGCAAAAAGCTGCCAAGTCATTAAATATAACATATTATTGGTTATTTTTAAGGAAGAATACAAATTTCAAGCCAAGAATCCCAAAAAAACACTTGGAACGTGTATTTAAAAAATGTATAAAATAAGATTGTATAAGATAACAAAATAATTAAAAACACCATTTAAAAAAAAAAAAAAAAAGACCTATTTAAATTTTTTCCTGTGAAAAATTATTTTTAGAATTTTTTTTTATACTGTGTTCTAAGGCTGCGGAAGCAATTTAAACCAAGGAGATGACTTTTTTTTCCTTTTATTAATTGTTAAAGCCCTCTCTCAACATTTTAACTTCAAAATACAAAGATTAACGAAAAAGGTGCTGCGTGGTAAAATAATTTAAGCAATTGAGAATTTAATTATGCTGATGATCAAGAAAACCTAGTAGTGGTATGAATCCCGCCAACAAAAAAGTAAATAAAACAAAAGCAACAACTCAGTGTTCGAGACAAGCAAATAGCTGATTGTAAAACGGAATAAATAATACGTCAAGTTAGCACAAAATGAAGCAAGTCTATGTAATTTATCTTCTTCTGTAAAAACAATTTTTTTGATTAAAAACAAAATTAAACAAAAAAAAAAAAAAACTATTTTAGAAAATATAGCTTATGTATGAAAAAGTAGTTTGGAAAGTTTATGTAAAAAAATTTTATTCCATTAAATTTGCTGAGTAAAAAGATTATTATAAAAAAAAGACTTTCAGCAAAAAAAACTTTAGTAACAATAGTCTTACGATTTGTGATACAATTATTATTTTATAAATTTTTTTAACAGGTCCTACTTTTTCAAACTATGAATTTTTTTTTATTTTTAGAGACTAAAATTTAAAACTTTCCGGATTCAAATTTTTTAAGCCTGTCTAATTAATGAAAAAAAAGAAAAAAAAGAAAAAGCCACGCCAACAAATCAATAAACTTGAGTCCGCAAAAAAAATACGAATCAAGTAAATAAACTAAAAGAATAAGAAAACTAAATGAAGATTACGTCAACAATTCGCTAAATTGTAGCGCGCCAATTAAATAACAATAAAACAAAATTGTTCTATTGTTAATTTCAAAACAAAATTAACGCCGTATAATTTGTTCTCTCCTGATTCATTGACGTCACAAGTTAATAATGAATCAGGAGAGAACCAAAATAAAAAATATTAAATTTTGTAATATATTAGTCTTCTGTTTATTTACCGCCTACCTATTTGCATCTATATTAAACAACAATAACAAATCAGAAAGGCATGGGAAGAATGCTTTCTAAAATATCCTTTAAAATATAATATGAAGCTGACCTCAACAACTTTTAGAATAGGTATTTTTACCCTATTTGAAAACGGAAATCCCTCACGTGATCTTTGTGATGCAATTGTAGTGATTATAACAATACAAAGTAAGCTTATTTATTCATAAGTCAATTGTAAACTGAGATAACAGCGAAATTTTGTCATTGCAAATGATAAAACTGCACATTACAAGCATTTTATTAATTCAGCAATTTTAATTCTAGCTAAAGGGATATTTTTTTACTAACCCTATAAAAATTACAGTCTAGCTATATTATTTCTAAAATATAAAAAAAAAAATAAAGAAAAAAAAACAAAACAATTTGGAAAAGCTTTATAAAAATAAACAAATTGTAATTCGTATTTTAACGATTTCATCAAACAATTAAAAGCCATTCATTCACGCGAGTGAAGACAAAACAAACAAAACATTATCACCAACAACAACGAAAAAAAAAATCATTTACTTATTATATTCATCTATACAGTTCAACTGAGAAGATTATCATAGGATTGTGTAACGATATTTAAAAATAATCTTCATTTCGTAACAATATTAAATGTCTAAATGGTTATTAAATTAAACAATGCCCTAATTTTAAAGTGTCAAAATAATTTACCTCAAACACTAGAGTTGCAAAGTGAGAATCACTGATTTCTGAAGAACAGTTTTCTATTAGAAAAAAACATAAACTCCAAAATGTCATAGCAAACCTTTCATTTACCACATAAGTAACTCTAAAAAAAAAAGAAAAAAAAAGATAGCTTTTATAGCAAGAACGCCAAATGCATATAAATACATAAATGATATCAAAAACGCAATCTCTGAGGAACAGTTATATAAAAAAATTATTAAAATCTTGATTAAAAATGTTTTTTTTTTGTTAATTATTTTTTCTAGCAGTTGTACTAAAGTATTTTTCTGTAAAAATTTTTAAAAATTGATTGAATCTCGATAAGACGTATTTTATTCTTTTTTTTTAATGTTTTTTCACCTCTCCAATGCTCTCACTACAGTCAAGAAGGCTATTTTTTAATTGTGTTTCCAACCCTTTTCCCAACTCTTCAAAACATAAGCCTTGACGACGAAGGCCGCTGCGCAAAGAAGCAAGTTGAGCACGGTATTATCAAGGACATGGTAAGGATTAAACTCTGAACTTCTCGCTTGCAAAGCGAGCGCTCTACCAATCCGTCACTACCACATTAACAACAACATTTCTTAACATTATATAAGAAAAATTATATATATAAAAATATAAAAAGTATAGAAAATTAAAAGTGAACAGATAAAATAACTATTTTTTACGAAAGAGAGACTTGATCTGTGAATCTTTTAATATTTATTTTAAATTTATGGAAAAAAAAAATATTTTAATCAATTATGAGAGAAAAATTAATTTGTGACAGCTTTAGTAATTTTTTTTATTTGCAGATGTTTAATTTTTTAAATTTACGGTAATTCAGAGAAAATTCACTAACTCCACTTAAATTTTTGTTTTATCATTGACTTTTGAAGTTTATTTAATTTTTTTAAACTACCGGTAAATTCACAATTTCTACTTAAAATCTTAAGTAGAAATAATAATAATCTAATAATAACCTTATATAAACAATAAACTCATATAAATTATATAAAGTTTTTAGTTGGCTGCCGCGACATAAGTTATTAGTTTTTAATTTGTATAAATAGGTTTATCATGTAATTTCTTATTAAAATTACACACTTTTTTCCTTTATATAAATAATTTATCTTTATTTTTTTTTTTTTTCTAGCTTGCATAAATTTTTGTGATTTTATTGTTTTTATTTTACTTTTCAAATCAATTTAAAGTAACACGAGGTTCTCTGAAGTAAATAAAGCGAGTAACAAAGTTAAACTGTTCGTGTTTTTTTAAACATAACTTGTATTGAACTAATACTAATTTTTTTGTGTGGAAAAAACAATTAAAGAAAAAAAGGATAGTTGATGAATTCAAAGTTGGAGATGTCTCTTCTCAATTAAATTTTTTATTGGTATTGGGTAGAAAAAAAAATCACCTTTTTTATACTGAACCAAAAAAAAAAGTTTTGCCAAGTTAAAAATTAAATTTATTTTTTTGAAAATCAGAATAATTACCAGATATATTTCACTGGTAACCAAAACGACTGCCCGATTTTATATCGTGTCACTCAAAACGACAGCCAGATTTTATATCGTGTCACTCAAATGATACAAGAGTATTTGTTTTTTAAAAATAGAAAAGAGTTTTATCAAAATCCGAAAAAAGTGTTAAGAATCTTTAAAAAAATTTAAAACATTAAAAACATTTTAAAATATTGACAATAATAATGTAAATATGGTACATAATCCAAAAAAAAAATTGAATAGTATTTTATCCTGCTCTAGAGCACCATGTAAAGGTTAACACTAAATTCCATTAAACGTAATTAAAGAGTCGCTTTTGATATTAAGTATACTTTTCTACACGTTTAAATCTATTCCGTATAGGAGAAATCTTAGAATGAAGTCTTTACACTGTTCAGCAAACTGACTGTAAAATGTTAAGTAAGAATCTTGGGTAGTTTTAAATTTATAAAATGTTAATTCATACCCAGTCGCAAGAGCTTGACAAAAATAAGAACCTTTTGCTATTTTAAAGGCTTCCATACACTGAACTATAGATCTAAGTTGAGAAAACTAAGTTGAGATGTAAAGCTGTATTAAAAGGCTCTTTTCCATCTACCAAAGACAGTTTACTCAATAGTGTGGAGACATTCTGAATTCAAACCTACATGGAATAGATTTAAACATGTAGAAAAGTATGCTAAACATTGAAAACGACTCTGTAGTTACTTTTAATGGAAAAAGAGTTTAATTTAGTGTTAACTTTTACATGCTGCTTTTATTTTATTTTTGTTGGATTATGTACCATATATACATTAATATTTTAAATATTTTTAAATGTTTGCTTTAAATTTTTGCATCCCACAATTGCCTCATTTTTAATCCAATGATCAAGACCTGTAAAAAAATTTATAAAACTCATTTTATTGAGTAGTAGAGTAACAAAATATTTATTCGCATCATTGATATAAAACTCATGTTTAATATTATGAAAGGACAGTACTTTTCCTGGTAAAGTGGTCTAAACTGTTAAACAGATTTTATTGGTATGACCGACAATACCTTTAAAAACTATACCACCATAAAATCAATCTTCAACACCACATACAACCATTAAGTCCTCAGTACTTTTCTATCCATACATGTTGCAGTTTAACTGTTCCAGTATTACTTTACTCTGCTGTAGCTCAAGATATATAGAATAAGTTATGGTAACAAAATATTGTAATTAAAAGAATAGGAAATAAGAAAAAAATACAGAGTAATAAATTTCTGTTGCATTGAATACATTTTTAATTTTTAAATGTTTTCATAATTATATATAATTACATAACATAAACATAATAAATTGATAATTACTTAAAAATTTAGTTTATGTTAGTTAAAATGAGATTCAAAATTTAGTTATGTAAACCTATTGGGAAAATTAAATGCACTAATTGTACAAACTAAAACATATATCAGGGTTCCCACTATTAAAACTAAGGCTAAAATTAAGAATTTTAAGAAGATTTAAGAAGATATTTTCCTAATATTTATATTACTTTTCTTATAAAACTAAAAGTTATAAAAGTATGAACAAATAATAATTACTCAAGTAATGATGTCATCTTTTTTGTGATATAATCTGTAAGAATAGGGGTAAGCAGAACATTAGTTGTTTGAACTTGTGATTCTAGAATATACAGTGATCCAACCATGCAAGAAATCTAAACATTTTTGTATTTTTATCTCAATATATACATATGTACTGTTAACTTTTATATACATACTAACTTTTTTTACATAATTAAAATTAATTCTTTTCATTACAATTAAATAGAAAACATTTATTGCATAGTGTGATAATATGGTAATAATATAATAATGCAATAACCATAATAATGGTAGAAATGCAAATCATACCTGCAAGGGAACATGAGGGCTTCTGAGACAAAGTTCAATAAGCTTAACTATTCTTTCTGCAGTATTTCCTTCCTATAAAATTAAGTTTTTTTAGTGTAATTTTATATATTCATATATATATATATATATATATATATATATATATATATATATATATATATATATATATATATATATATATATATATATATATATATATATATATATATATATATATATATCTATTATACAAGAATATTCCAAATTTTTTTGCATTCATATGAATGATGAAAAGATTCTTCACAAAAAAAACTACTGTTATAGGAGAATGGAAACAAGAAACCCTAAAATCTTAGACCCCCTCCTGCCCCAAACCTGAGAGCAACAAGTTAATGAAATATTTTTTTGTACTATTTTCAACTATACTTATATTCATTGAGAAATTGTAAAATTCACAGTATAGTTTCTCGGCATTCAAATATTATGACCATATAAAATTTGCAACCTCATTAAATTGAGGGGGCTTTTGAACTTTATGTGGTCATAAGTTTTGAACACTAAAATATTTTACTATCAAATTTAAAATTTCCTGATGAATACAAGGCTAATTGAAAATAGTACAAAAAATATTTCATCAACTTGTTGCTCTCACGTTTGGGGCAGGGGGGAAGGGCTTTTAGATTAAGAGCTTCTTGTTCCCATTCTCCTATCAAAGTAATTTTTTGGTGAAGAAACTTTTCCTCATACATATGAATGTAAAAAAAATTGGAATATTATTTTTGTTTATAAGTTTGTTAATTCAAACATTAAAAACCTTCCTTCAGTATGGCCTATTCACAGCACTATATCTTAGATTTTTGAAGAGGGAAATCAACTTTTACTGGAAAAAATAGTTGCGCAGAATATTATATTTTTAAAAAGCAACATAAGACTAAATTTTTAATTTATAGTTCACAAATTCTTTGATAACTATAAATTTTTAATTTATAGTTATCAAAGAATTTGATATTTAATTATATTTGATATTTATTAAATACTATAATATAAAATAAAACCTTTTTTAAATTGTTTAAATTGAAACCCTGGCGATGCCTCTGTTCATTCAAACTATGTACATTTGTAATTGTATGTTTTTTTTTAAATATTTTTAACTGATCTTCTTGGAATATTCTCTTTTTTAGGAGGACTTCAAGAAGTTTTTAAAAATAGTAAAAAATTTTTTTTTGCAAAAGTTCGCAAGGATACTTAGAAGAAACAGGTTTAAAAAAAAAATTTATCACCTCTTATAACATATTTATCTCCAAAATTAAGTTCACATAAAACAGAACTTTTTGTTAGCATCTAATCTGCATGATTAACATATTGTATTTAAGTTTACACATATACACGCACACAAATATATACATCCACACAATTTAGTACACAAATATATTAACAGCCTAACTTCTTGTTTTTCATCAACTGTCAAGCAGACCTACCTATTACCCCCATTTTTACCATTAATAACATTCTCAACCAACTCAGCAAATTAAAGACATGATCAGGACCTGATGATCTCTCCTCAATTTTACTCAAATCTGCTCGCTTAGAAATTGCCCCATCACTCTATATCCTATTTAACTGCCTCATAGAAAACAGTTACTTCCCTGATCAATGGAAATCAGCAAACATAACACAAATTTCTAAAATCTCAAACCTGCTATATTCCAATGACTATCATCCAATTGCTATTACATCCGCATTATGCAAAGTTTTTGAACACATTGTCACCAAATTTATTGTCCATCACACCAAGCAAATATGGATCTCAAACAAACAATTCAGTTTCCTTCCAGGCCATAGTCCAATGGACGCTATTATTCAAGTTATAGAGGATTGGAGTCATACTAAAGATATTAACAAATCAATTTTTGCAATATTCTTTGATTTTGCAAAAGCAGTTGATCATGAAACATTGTTAATAAAGTTAATGAATATTCTGGTTCATCTTGGATCGCAGCTTACTTTTCTAATAGCTATAGCCAAAGAGTAAAAACAAGTAATCATACCACTGATTCGAAATATATACAAACCAGAATATTTCAGGATAGTGTTCTTGGCCCAATCTTGTTCATTCTCTTTATTTCCAATATAAACACCTACCTCCTACCTAAACCCATTATCGAAAAAGAAGCTGACAACATCCTGACCTACATTATCTATGATAAAGTCCCTACCAACTTACCTCAATCCATTGCTGATGGCGTTGCACATTGGTCTGCAGCAAATGGAATGAAACTCAAAATGTAAAATCATTAGAATTAATGCTCGGTGCTCCGATACTCATGCTCTACCATCTCCCATACTCAATAAAACTGAACTTGAAATTGTATATAACTACAAATACCTTGGAGTCCTGCCTAATAAGAATATTGATTGGGATGAACAATAGATAAAATCAGTGCCATTTCTACTGAAGCACCTTAAGTAAATGGACACATTCAGCCTAACCTTCTACAAATCTACAGATCTTACGCTATTAGTTCTTACCTTTTGCAGTCATACCTCAGTTCTTGCAATACTAGTTCTTACCTCATGCAGTTCTTACTTCTTGCAATATCAGTTCAGCCACATGACATGTGCCCTATTTCTTACCTCTTGTAGTCTTGCAGCAGAGATACAACATTTCCACAAAAATGCCTTACACATCATGGAAGTTGATATAACCAACTCAAGTCTTTTCAATATGTGTTTTGACATTGAAGAATTACTAGACAAAACCTGTATTAATATCCTTAAAAAGATCCTTGCTGACACAAACCATCCAATAATCACTAAATTACATTGCACCAATAGTAGAAACCCCGACAGATTCCCATACGCTCTAAAAACCGCGATCAAAATACCTATGTTCCGCACTAATTTAAAAAAATTTTTCAAAACACAATTAAAAAATATCTATGTATTCTTCATGAAGTGTCAGTGATCTCTACTTCCCACGAAACATTGGCAGCTTCGCTGCTTTTTCAACACATAAATAATCAGTTCTTTTTCCTGCTTTCTTAGCTAACTTTGACTCTTTATTTAACTTATTTAACTTTAGTTTAAATCATTAATTTGTTTATACTTCAAATAAAAATCTGCTTTTTCTCTATGTTTTGTACTTTTTATTTACTTTTTTAATGATGCTCATAGTGTGTATTAAGGTACCCCAAGGGTAAAATACCTTGAAACAAATTTCTAATTTTACATTAACTAGTCTCACAAGTTTAACCTGTTATATTTTAGTAATTTATATATTTTATTTTGTAGGTATAAATTTATATATATATATATATATATTTTTGTAGGTATAAATTTATATATATATATATATATATATATATATATATATATATATATATATATATATATATATATATATATATATATATACATATAGGGCATATATATCTAATATACATATAGGGCATATATATATAATATACATAGGGCATATATATATAATATATATGCCCTGAAAAGTCCAACAAGATTTAACCAATAAAACTAACGCTACATAATTTATTTATAAATAAAAAAAGTTTTTTAAGTACCTGGGTTATGCTTCGCGTTGTTTGAAAAGTTTAACACATTTGTAACAATTCTTTTTAGTAAGATGAACAAATGAAATAACTAAATCATTGAGTTACTGTGGAAATTTAATTAGCTAGATAGAAATTAACTAAAAATGTTAAATTAATTTGTAAAGAGGAAGCGGAACTGCTTAACAATACCGCTGATGATGTTTAGTGAGTGGGCTTTATATTTTAAACTAGTATTTAAAACAGAAAAAAATAACTTTAAGTTTAAGTATAACGAGTTTGTAAGAATGGCTGAAGCAAAAATAATTGAAGTTAATAAGCCAATTTCTAAGAACTTAAAAAGTTTTTTTCTTTCTTGTGGGAAAGAATCAGTTATCGGTTATACTGAGGAAAATGGATTAGTGGTTAAAGTATGGTGTAAGCTATTTTACAAGATCCTTTAGTTAAAGGAGCGTTCTATTATTCGTTTGCAGATGGAACTTGTGTGGTGACAAAATATCAGGTAAAATTAAAATGATTTACTTAATTTTTATTTGCCCATCATTGTTTACTTATAAATATAGTTATTTTACTATGTTTTATTAAAAGTATTATATATAAAGTATTATTTAATGTGCCGTGATATTATTTTTTGAGTTATTATATTATGTTATGAACCGACTTTTTTTAAATTAATAATATTAATCATGATTTTTTTAAAATAATGATAAAGGTTGATCGCCATCTTAAAGGACCAACTCATAGGTTAGCGGTACAAATTGAAAATGGGTACTCTGAAGATCCTGAAAGTAGTTGAGTCACCGATCTCGATATAGAAAACTCGGTACCACAAGACAACCGCGATGCGTTATCAAAAATGTTAAGAACTGCCTATGAAATGGCTCTAAAACCGAGCATGCCACATACCCATTTTTGATGATTATTAATTTTTAAACTTCTTGTATGTTTATTTCATAATTATTTGTATTTACTTTGATGATTATAAATAATTTCATTGAAAACGCAGTTATTATTGAAAGTGTTTTTGTTTACAAAATCAATCGCCATATTAGTTTAAAAAATTACATATGAATAAAATACACACATAAAGTTACATACATAAAAATACATTACATACATAAAAAATACATCCCTTATATATAAAAAATAAGATTATACTAATTAAATCTATAATATATTTACAAAACGTTGATAAGTTAAAAAATATAAACTTAAAACATTTATTTTTGTAAACAAATGTTAGTTTAAAACATTTATAGCTTTGTAGATGTGACTCCGAGAATGAGCCATTGTATTAAAATAATAGTTTGTTTGATAGTATATTCGTAAAACAATTTATGCTAGAAATCTCAACAAAAACATAACAAAACTCAAATTATACGATTTAAAAAAATAATTCAACAGAATACTCTAGAACATTTGCTTGAATTCTCTAGTAATTTCAGTTAGTATTTTTTGAACCAATAGAATTAGTTGTTCTTAGATTTGGTGGGTTTTTTGTGTTCGCGCATGTTCTTTATTTATTTTTAGGCACTAAGATGTTTGACAACATTCAAGTTTATTTAAGTTTCCATGTACGTCCGTAAAACAAAACTTACGATAAAATAATGAACTTAATTATTATTTTGCGGACAAACAAGGAAACATACATAAACTTAAATGTTCTCAAAACTTCTGAAAAATCTGGCCGGCTTTTCGCAACTAAATATAATTTCCGTGGTCAAATATCGAGTGCGATTGCACCCGCTTCCCGACCAAGCCTGATATATATACACACACACATATATATATATATATATATATATATATATATATATATATATATATATATATATATATATATATATATATATATATATATATATATATATATATATATATATATATATATATATATATATATATATATATATATATATATATATATATATAGCTGCTTAGAAGTAACTAATTGAAGAAAATATGTTATCTTGAAACTATACATTTAACTTACAAAACATCACAAAACAACACAACATGTTACAGGACAATTTATATTGATTTTAGATTTATAGTAAATCAGTTTGCAGTTGATATAAGAAAAACAATGCAGCCATTGTTTTTCTTATATCAACTGCATTTTACTACTATCTTCAATAAATCATTGAGGCCAGATTGAGTAGAATTTAGCTTACTTAAAGAAAACAATTTTGTACTTGTAAAACATTTAGACATTTTTAAAATTTTATATTTATATTTTGACAACAATTGTTATAAGCTTTTATTATTATTTACAAATTTTTTTTATTAAGAAAATTAAAACATCTGAATTATAATAAATTGAAGATAAGGATTACAAATGCGACTTTATTATATCAATATACTTAAATATAGATATAGAAGATATTAATGTAAATTAATTTGTTATATGCAATTAAACTTTTAATTAAAATTGTGTCATTGAAAAGTAATTAACTTTTTATACCATTAAAATAATTTAAATAAATAAAGTTCAAAGAAAACATACTAGTTTTAGAACAGCCAATGCTTTGCAAACTGTCGGAACTAGATATTCCAAAATGATATCATCTTCTGAAGGATGGTTTTGAGAAAATTCCATCAAAATTCCAAGAATCCATTCAAAGTGACTCATTTCCAGCAATAGGTCAGATAAAACACACAACTAATAAAATATAGTTCATTTCAAAATCTGAAAACTTAAATGAGAACTACATAAAACAATAAGTGAGTGAAAGAGAACATAATCAAGTATAAAACAAATAAAATTACAGATTTCATAGCTTCCATCTTAAGCATGAGAGGTGTTTTAGGAACAGCATATGGAGAAAGCCACTGCTCAAACAGCTCCAACAAAAATTGCAAGCATGACCGAATATCTAACTCATCAAGCTTCCTATGAATATCTGGAACAGACTTTTCTTTTACTCTAATTATAAGAGAATCACTATCATCACTGTCAGTATCTTCTACCACATCAGAAGTTATAAGACGAGTTCTGATTGCAGATGCAGATATCTATTAAAAAATAAAAAACCTTCAAAATCAAGTTTGTATACTTATGCAAAATATTTTTTCAAAAAATGTCAATATAAGAACTTTGTATATGCTGTGAAACAATAAAAATAACACAACTATTTTTATGTTAGTATAAACAGAGGAGATATGAGCACATTTTACTTTTTTAAAATGATAATAGAAAGTTTATGTAGAGTTGTAACCAATCTTGCATAGCTAGTTTTATGTTAGCATAAACATGTTACATGTATAAACATGTTGCATGTATAAACATGTTACACATACTATTAGCAATTATAAATTTAAAAACTTTCAAAAAATCCTAGAATTCCTCTTCTAACTTCCTTCATGATGGTCTTTGAACTAACTTTTTCTGCCTCTCTGCTGAAAATTATACCTCTTATAAATCTTATAGATTTAGCATGAAAGCTTTTATTTCTTGTTGTTGGTGTTAAGGCTCATTCTACCCCAAGGTTTTTTCTTTTGCCCCTCATCTAAGGTTTTCTCTTTTGAATGCAGCTTTTAATTGTACTTTCAATTTAAAAAAATCAAACTTTAAAAAAAAAATTATAAACTTTATTTCATTTACTTAGTGAAATCTTCTTTCAAATTTAGCAAATGAGTGTAACTTTTTGCTTCATAAAATTAGTCTTACAATGAAATGTAAAATTCCATTACCAGCGAAAATCTGTTTAAGTTGAGTATTTTCTAAACAGTAATTCTCAAACTTTATAAAGTTTAACATGATTGTAGATTAATGTTGTCATGGTACTCTGTACTTCGATATTAACCTGGTTCTTTATTAAAAGTAGTTAGTGTAAAAGTCTTTCAAAGTACCGAGTATATCGGTACTACTGTTAGTACAGAGAAATAATTTAATAGTACAACAATGCTATTTATAAAGTTCGTTCTTCATTTAGATATACTGTCTATAAGTATAATGTAGTATATAGTATGTAATATATAGTAGTGTAAAATAAAAATGTAAGGAATTGTCCATTAATTATGCAACGCTAAATTTATTAAAAAACAGAAGTAGATCTTAAGCACTTTTATGCTGCAATTTTCATTAAACCAATGCGCAATTTTGATTCTTCATTTAACTTAAGCTCTGCAAGAGAAAACGCTTGATCTCTTTTTTTGTTTATTAGTGAAAGTTAGTGTCACATAATTTGTGAACGACCCCTATTAGCGTATTAAATAAGGATGACTTGCAGTTTAGTTCATTGATTTGCTTATTTCCTTTTTTGAACATAAACAATTTGTATTAGTTTTTTTGAACATAAACAATTTGTATTAGTTATTTGTATTAAACTAATGAATTTTTTTTTTTAATTCAACATTTTTTTTCTTGAAACTTAATATAGTCTAAAAGTAAATTGCCAATTCCAATTCATAGACGTTTAATTTCAGCAATTAGCCTACATATTTTTTATGAAAAAAATAATTAAATTAAAAAATTTTTTTGCTCCTAAAATTAAAACTAAAAGACTTTATAAAAAAACCGCTTCATATCTTTATAAAACCGCTTCATATCTTTATAAAACCGTTTCATATCTTTATAAAACCGCTTCATATCTTTATAAAACCGCTTCATATCTTTATAAAACCGCTTCATATCTTTATAAAACCGCTTCATATCTTTATAAAACCGCTTCATATCTTTATAAATCCACTTCATATCTTTATAAAACCGCTTCATATCTTTTTTAAATGCACTATTATTGTCATTTAAAACCCAATTTGAAATGTTTTGGAAACTCCTAGCTGTCTTTGATAGGTAAGAGGTAAGTCATTTGCCAAAAAGTTTTTTGAAATTTTTTTTTTGTTGTAAATGAACAAAGTTTTGGTTCCGCAATTTACATACAACAAAAGAAAAATAAATATAAAAAATTTTAAAAAAATTATAGAGCCTATAAATTGAAATAAAAAGAAAATATTTTTATATACTTTATTTAGAAAGTTTTTAAAAAAACAGACTGGAAATAAAAAAAATTAAATTTTCTTTTAAAAATGCAAACTTATGATGTTAAGCACTATGCATGCTTACAATTTGGTTTGTGGTCAGTATAATTATTCCTTCATTTAGGTACCGAATTAGGTACAGAGTACCAAGTATTTTGATATGTATTTGTAACGAATACTGAAATTTCAGTACCATGACAACACTATTGTAGATAATCAAGAGGGTCCAAAGTTTAAATCAACCCTAAACCTTTGGAGGTACCACTATCAAACTGTATCTCTGGAGCAACATTGCTGAACATGATGTTTCAGAGGTTAGGGTAGAGAGAGGGATAGAGTTTCAAATAAACTGAGTTGCCTCCTTGACTGTAGTAGAGCCATCTGGAAACTTGAAAAGGCGAAAACAAAAAGCAACTGTAATAATAATAATAATAAAAAATTTCATCTAACTCTGTTCTAAATTCTTAATATTTAAAAAAAATCTGAAATTTAAGTATTTAGACAAAAAAAACAACAAAAAAACATCTTATTAAAACATATTTTATTTAAAAAATATTGAATTAAGAAAGTAACAACAGATCAATAGTAATCAATCTAGATCTAGAAAGTTATTTAAAATAAGTTTTTGACATTTCACATTTCATGTTTTTGTAAACAACTTAATTTTTATTTTGATCCCAATTCTAGTATTACTAGAGCTCTATATGAATGTTTAACGTGTAGATTTTAAATAACATGCAATTTGTATAAATATAATCAAAAAATAAAAACAATTAACAATATTAAGAAAATTGTATGCAAGTTAGTTGAATTTTTAAAAGGAACCCAAGATCATTTTTATTTCTTGTTATATATTGATGCATAAATATTAATGCATATTGTTCAATTTTTAAATTTATTATTATATTTATATTATTTATATTATTTATTTTTTTAGATTAGTTTATAACTAATCTAAAAAAATAAATAATATAAATAATATAAATTTTATATTATTATAAAAAGATATTGCACCTTTATAATATAATTATAAAGGTGCAATATCTTTTTGATTTAAAAAGGGAATTTTGTTATTATTTTTGACAAAAGTACATGTGTTAAAGCGCCACCATTAGTTATACCCACCCCATATGTATAGGAACAAGGGAAGAAAAATAAATAAATTTTTTGATTTTTACTTGTTAACTTAAGTTCTTGAGATATTTAATGATTTTAAATTTCCAACCTGTTTTTAGTTTTTATCAGAAAATCTTTTGTTAATAGCAAAAAAGCAAAACTTACTTGTCCCATTTTATAGCCATGATGTTGCAAAGGAAATTCTAAATTTGAAAAAAAAAGCTTTCCAATCAGCATGCAACCATGATAGAGTTGTTGCTTTCTCTGTCTGATAGACAACAGATTAGGGATCACTGGATACAATATCTGTTTAACAAAGTATGAATCTGATGAAAGATACCGAGTAACAAGCTCTATTTCACTTAGGACAGTTGTTAATTTAATTCCAGGCCTTAAAACAAAAAGAGAACAAGTTTAAAATTGAAAACTAAAATTAATTTATACTTAAAACTGTTCTCATTGTTTCTTACTTGCTTCCTAAAAATGGATAATCACGTAGTCTATGCAGAACTGAGTATTGACTTATCGAGGAATTTCCTGGTACTGGAGCTAGAGTAGTATCCAAGATTAAAGATGTAATACAATGAACTGCCAAACAACTTGCTTGAGCCATTTCAATATCTTCCTTTGTTAAAAAATATGATACTTTAAAGACTATCACATGAATACTTAAGTTAAATAAAGAATATATCACTACATCAAACATTTCAAAATAAAGTACAGGACACAACATAAAACATGGCACAATATAAAATATAACACAACATAGAACAGGACACATCATAGAACATAACACGTTATATAACATGGCACAACATAATATATTTTAAGATAAAACATCTAGATTGGAATTATAATTCTTTTTGTCATAGAAGATTATTTATGGTCTTCAGATATAAATTACTTTACCATGATGAAGTAATAAAAATTACGTTTAAAAGACATCTTATATGAATGTATTTAAATATAAATATTATTTTAATATAGGGTTAGTCAATTTTCTACCAATATTTTAAGTCGGTCACTTTTGCTTAATTTTAATTAAAAAAATAATTGTATTAAGAAATATGATAAATAGTTAATAAAAGATGGTAACTTTATAATAATAAGTAATTAATAATTAATATAACCATATATGCAACCCTCAGAAAAAGAAAAAATGAGGTATTCTCTAACAGTTTGAAAAAATGAGGTCCGATCTCTAACAGTTTGAGGTCAATGACTACAGCCTTTAATATGTCATGAGAAGCCAGCAGCCTTTGCCTCTTTGCTTCAAGTTTTTCTATCCTTTTTTTTTCTTTGACTCTTTGCTTCAAGTTTTTCTAGTCTGCTAGTTTTCACAACATGCAGTAGGTTGTACTGGATTACATGTTATCAGTAGCAGGCTGATTACATGTAATCTAGCTGATTTTAGTGACACTAATCCTGAAGCTAGTATAATAAGCATTTATGGTTGTTTAATCCCTAACATATCTTTAGCATGTATACCTTCTATTTTTTATAAGATGTTTTAGTGACAGCTCATTGCCAAAAAAGTCTTGTCAGTTTGAAGTGTTTAATAAGTCATCACAACCACACAATTTAAAATTTTCAAGAATCTTGCTTGAAAAGGAAGGTGTTATAGTTATACAGCATAGTTTGACACCTTGATGCCATAATTTAACACCACGACGCTAGTAACATTTTATCTAATATCTTCATCTAAATGTAATAAAAATTTGATAAAAGTTTGATAAAAATTAGCCTTGTAAAATCTTTTGATTTTAGATGGCTAATAGTTAACTAATTATGTTCTAAAATATATAAAAATGGAATACAAATATAATATTAAAGTATTTTCTCCTCAACCCATATGAAAAAACCAGTTACTATTATTTCAGTTTCAGGTTAATTCAGCACAACAAAACATATTTTTTTATAATAATACATGATAATGCTGTTGCGAACATGCTATTTTAAAATTTTATTTTGTGCTTTATATATATTTAAATTTTTTTATGTTGGAATGAAAGCAGAATAATAATTGTGAAAAGTCAAAAATCTTGCATAGTATACAAAGGATTTTAAATTACTAATCCAGCAAATTTGTTAAAACAAGCTGTAAACAATCCAGGAACAACAATTTTCATTCTTGAACTAGCAAAACTTTCATAACAAACTTGGTTAAAGGCATGCCAACTAACATTTTAAGCAGGTTTTTGTCCACTGACTTGTGCCTATTTCAGCTCAACAAATGGAACAACTTGTGATATCTTACTTATACTCTAATAATGCGCACCATCTTACTTCAAATTTATCACCATCAAGTGCACCATATTACTTCAATTTCATCACAATAAATGCGTAACATCTTACTTCAATTTTATCACCACCAATGAACAACATCTTACTTCAATTTTAACAACTTTTTTCATCCTTTTATTAGTTTTGTTTTCTATTGTTTTGTAATTTATGTTAATTACTTGTCAACTGTGTCTATTCTATAAACTTATTTAACAAGTGCCAACAATATAAGATAATGTAAGATAAAAATCTTACTTCAGTTGATACATTTTCAAGCATAGGTGGTGAGCTAAGTACACCTAAAAGTGCAGCCCAAGTTTCTTCAAACTGCATTCTAGAACTCCAACCTAAAAATATATACATATAAACCTGATGAGAAAAAAAAAAAAGTTATTATAAAAAATATAATTTATTTTTTTAATAATTGTACTATATTATTATAATATTCCATTCAATACATATAACAATTCAAATATTGTACATATATAACAAACTATGATAACGAAAATATAATAATTGGAATATTGCACATATACAATAATTATAATAATGCATATATAATAATTATAGCAATGCATATATATAACAATAATAATACTGCACCTCTATATATTATTGCCGAACTTAATAGTTTTAATAGTTTTAGTAATAGTAGTGCCTCTTGGGGTGTGTTTGACACGAAACCCTTGTCAGCAATTGCAACCAAGGTATTGGTGAGAGCTTTGCTTTATAAGAAAACATGAGCGAATGTGAAACTTATATCCTACATATGTAAACTTCATGTTATGTAATGTTAAAACATACTTAAACATATATCAAGTTTTACAGTTAAACTTTTAGTTAAACTAGTTGCTTTCACTTAAAAACTGCATTGCGTCAACCTCTTCTTTTTGATCTGCAGCATTTATTTCCGTTAAAAACAATTTTTATATAGTTTTAAAATTTCAATGACGTGCCAGCATGGCCGAGTGGTCTAGTCAAGCGCGTTAAACTTCTAAATATAAAAGCCGTGGTTCGAGTCCTACCACCTGCAACTTTTTTAAAAAATTTTTAAAATACAAAATACTTGTGAAGTTTTATAAAGATTATAAATAAACATATCTAACGGTATTATACACTTTAACAAATAAAAAGATTTTAAAAAAGCTAAAAATTTTTAAAACATTCAAAAACAGGGGGATATTTGTTGTGTATGTGTCATGATTGAGATACTTATGTTATTTTAGTTTTACATTTCAAGTTTTTTTCTAACTAAGTCGAGTTTGTGCAAGAATAAGGAGTATTCAACATGTTTATATATAGAATATAAAATCTATAGAACTGTTTTGTTTTACATTTTAAATAACAAAAATTAAAAAATAAAGTAAGTTGATGATTTGAACTTGCCACGCGGCAACCTTAACTTTTTAAAACAGTAAGGGGGTTTAAAAGTATGTTTCATATAAGAACATAAATAAAAATTCTAATTTTATACTTAAATTAAACCATTTTCTCAAATTAATTATTTTTAAAAATAATTAAAAGTTGAAGTTATTTAATATTGATACAATAAGGAAATTTAGAGTTTTACAGCTATTTTACCACGCCCCTGTTAAACATTCTAAACCGAGTGCGCAACAATGACAGAATTTAGATAATCATTAAAATAGTATTATACTCCATTATTTGTTGGCTTAATATACCTTTTGGCTGACCCCTAATCATAATTTTTAAATAAGGGATCGTCCATAAATTATGCAACGCTAAATTTCACAAATGAACAAAACAAAAAAGATCAAAATTTTCCCTCACAGAGTCATATGTTAAATAAAAAATCAAAATAGCAAATTATCAAAAATCAAAAAATTAGCAAAAATCAAAAATTAAGTTTAATGAAAATCGCCACCTAAAAGAACTAAAGATCTCCTTTTTTAAAAAAAAAAAATAAATTCAGCGCTGCTTAATTTATGGATGATTCCTTAGCATTTTATAGTCTATAGTTTTTAATGGCCTAAGATCTTCTTAGTTCTGCTATTTGGATAGCGATGCATACAAACGTCTGAAGTGTAAACGTCTTTAGCAACTTTGAGTTTGCAGGTAGTATATGGAACAATCGGGTATAATAAATTTATAAAAATGAGAAAACGTATTTTTAGAATTTTATTTTAACAATTAGAAATCTTTTTTGCTATATTAATATTTTTTTGCTATAAATATTGCTTTATTTATTATAGATATATATATATATATATATATATATACTATTATTATTATAGATATATACTATTATAAAATTTTTGCTAGAAATATTGCTATAAATACAGCAAGTTTGAAAAATTTCAATCTAGCTGTATTTGTTTTTAATCCTCCAAAATGACACTGATGACAGTGCACTAAACCAGTGAGCTATCAATGATATGCGGTTAAAAGAAAAACAAATGCTGAAAGGGTGGGCATTTTTTGCTCTTAAAGCTATTTTTTAAAATGAGTTATTTTATGTAAACAGTTAACATGAACAGTACGAGTTAACGGGATTCTACTGTAATAAACAAATAATAGGTAAATAAATAATCAGTGTGGAATAAATAAGTATAGATATGGTAGATTTGGTAAAAAACCATATTTCATGGGTCCAGAAAGCTAGGATATATATATAAAGAAAATAGTACAGAAAAGGTCAACGGGGAATAGACTTACAAAGACCCGCACTTTTACAGGTCAGATCAACTAGTATATATAGTAGTTATAATATTGCATATAATACACATAATAAAATAAAATTATAGTTATAAATATTGAAAATTATTAATTAAAAAGTTACAATATTTATATTACCTATATAATTTACTCTAAAAACAAATTCTTTTAAAACATCTTTTTCTTTCAATATTTCTACTGGAAGAGGAGGAAGCTCTGTTTTTAAATCCCCTTCTAAACTAGGTTTCCATCCAAATTTCCAAACAATAGGAGGAATACGTGCATAACTATTAACAATAGGAATTCTAGCTAAACCAGTTATTGTTACAATCAAATGCTTAGAAAAAAAGGATGGTAAAGTTGATTTTTCCAATAAAAGGATTTCTTTTATACTTTCTACCAACTCTGATACCTTTTTAGCTGCATCATATAACGCTAAAGAACAAAAAAAAAGTTTATCAGATAATAATAAACAACAACAACAAGAAGTTTTTCAGATAACAATAACAACAAAAAGTTTATCATATAACAATAAACAACCAAAAAGCAGTTTTTATCAGATAACAATAACAATGAAAGTTTGTTAGACTAATTGTTCTATATCAAGTATGATGTAATGAAAAACACTATACCATGACAATAGCACAGCAAAGTAAATATGAAAAAAGCAACAAAGTTGTTAAAAAAAGGTGTATACAAACAAATATAACAAAGTATACAATAAAAGATAAAGGTAACACACATGAAAAACTTGATTAATTTAAAATAATTTGTATTAGTTTATTAAAATTTTATGAAAACAATTCCTATATTATTGCTAACCTGAGTTCTATGATGAAAATTTTATGAAAACAACTCCTATATTATTGCTAACCTGAGTTCAATGGTAATAAGTTTCCATTCATCATTTCAGGAAGTTTTACAAGATCTTTTCCAGGTCTTAAAATTACTTAAAAAATATATAAATATATAGAATAAAACAAAAAACTTATTTTAAGTGAATACATTTTTAACAAAAATTATCTAAATTATATTTAACTCAAATGTTTTCAAATTGAAAAAAAAAATCTAATATAAAGCAGCCATCTGCACAAATTAGAAACTTAAGTTTGAATCTAAAAAAATATCTTTAACCTGCGATACTTTTAAAAGCGTTAGTGAAGTAGTGGTAAAGCGCTTACTTCATTCAGTTTCAAGTTTAATCCCCACCATGTCCCTGGGAATACCACACTCAACTTGCTTCTCTGTGCAGTGGCTTTGTTATATATATGTATATGTATGTATGTATATGTATATATATAAATATAAATATATATATATATATATATATATATATATATATATATATATATACATATATATATACATACATATATATATATATATATATGTGTATATATATATATATATATATAATTATATATATATATATATATATATATATATATATATATATATATATATATATATATATATATATATATATATATACGCATATATATATATATATATATATATATATATATATATATATATATATATATATATATATATATATATATATATATATATTTACATATACAAAGGCCTTTAGAAAAAAAGTGAGGGTCAAATGCCCTCTGGCATTGCTGGCCATGATATATATATATATATATATGTGTGTATGTGTGTGTGTATATATATATATATATATATATATATATATATATATATATATATATATATATATATATATATATATATATATATATATATATATATCAGGCCTCCGTGGGAAGCAAGAGCTAAAGCTCTTGCTCCCCGCCGAGGAAAATAATAATTGTTGTAACTAAAATACTATAATAATCATTATAACTAAAATAAAATAACACGTCATTTAAAAAAAAATAATTGCATAATATATTGCATTGCTTTTTAAAAACCACGGTTGCTGCAAAAAAATAAATAAATGAGGAGCAGCTTGCATAGCTCCCCAAGTTCTTTTTAGGAGAGCTTTTTTCTGCTCTGTATATATATATATATATATATATATATATATATATATATATATATATATATATATATATATATATATATATATATATATATATATATATATATTAGAGGTGTTCAAAAAAAAAATTTTTAAAACGCGAATACACAATAAGCCAAATTTGGGGCAAACATAAAAAAAATACAATTAAAAAAAAAAAAATTCAAAAAAATTGACATTTACCTAGTGCTCAAGCAGCAAAATACCCCGAAAAATGCCCCAAATAGTTCCCAAGTAATTTGGCTTTGAGCGCTAGGTAAATCTCAATATTTTGTAATTTTTTTAAATATTTTGCTCATAATGGTCCAAACTTTTTTTTTAGTTTGTTGTGTCTCCTGTTTTTTTCATAATTATTGTTTAAATTAAAAAAAGAATTTTGCAAAAAAATACACAAAAAACATAGTTTTAACGTGCATTTAACAAAACAAATAAACTTTTACTTAATGTCAAAAGTGTGAAAACACTTTAGTGCTATTTAAAATTTACTTCTATTTGCTTTGTTTTGCTTCACTGCATTTTTCTATTGCTAATTTTTCTTAAATAATAAACATTTTAAAAAGTCATAAAAAGAAAAAACTGACGACAGTAAATAGTGTTGAATATAATCTAAAAATATTGTTCCAGTTATAATGGAAAGTTTAATAGAAAACAAGTAAGAGTCACAAAAATTGATAGTTGTAAGTGCAAATAGCAGTGTGAAACTATTAAAAAATGGTAGAGAAAAGCGAAATAAAAAAATGAAAAAAACATTTTATTATTGAAAGTCAAACCAGCAATACCAGGTAATGAATTTTTTCTGAGTTCTTTTTTAGTTTTAAATATTATTTCAATAAGATTTCATGTTGCAAAGGATCAACCTTACTGAATTTATTAGTTGTTTTTTTTAGTTGATCAACTACCAACAGGATTGGATATTTTACAGTACATAGCTTTTGATCAATCTATGCTTCCTAAAACATCAAAAAAATCTTTAATAATTGCTTGTTCAGTAAAAAAAAAGAAGGAAATATGAAAGATGTGTTGAACGACATTGTAAGTGTATTCTCAGCCAAATAAAGGGTTCGTGGCTTAAAGCTGGATTTCCTCTTCAATCAGATAACAGTTTGATTCAAAAGCTGAACAAGTTGAATAAAAAATATGTTAATTTAAAAAAAAACATGTACCGGATGTCGTCTTTAGAATTGAAAAAGCAACAAGACTTCAGAAAAGAACTGGGAAAAATCTTTTGGGCAGGAATACCTGACTTACAAAGCTGGATAAAAAAGGACAAAAATAGATCCGACCTAGATAAGAAAGAAGACCTAGAATTTATATACGATCAAGAACATGACAGAAAGTTATTTCTAGGGCCAGAAGATAAGAAATACAGGAAGAAGGTAATTCATTTAATGACCTTTTTTTTCCTGAATTTAAAAACTACCTTTTGCTACTTTTTCATTATTGAGCTTTATTTTTGCTTTAATACTTTTTACATTATTATCTTTTTTAATTTTACAAAATTTTGATAAAGAAATTTAAAAAGAATAATATCAAATAATAATAATAACAATAATAATAATAATAATAACAATAATATTAATAATGGTGCATGTTGTTTAGATTTTAGAGAATACAAGAAAAAGAAATTCATCTAAAAAAGATGCTGCAAAATTACTGGAAGTAAGGAATTCAGAGTTGGAATTTAGTCCAACACGAGACCTGAGCAAAGATTCATCGTTTGATTCAGATTATGACCCAGGATTCTTCAGAGTCTAAGAGCATAACAAAAGCTGAGATTTCAAAAGATATTCTTTCTGGTAATGTTGCCCTAATAGCTACAATTACTGATATTTCTCCCAATGTTTTGACAAAAGTTACGGCTGCAATCCTTGATAGTTGTAGCGTTGATCTTACAAATGAAGTTGCAGCAGTTTGACAGCATCTAGAAGGATGATACAAACAGCTCAAGAAATGGCAGCTATTGCTAAAGAAGATGTCATACTTAGCATCCAAGCGTCTCCCTACCCATGCATCGTTCATTTTAATGGAAAAACACTTTTCGAAACCAATAATGGAAAAAAATTTAAGAATGACAGACTAGCTGTTCTGGCAACCATCAATTATTTTTTTTTTAATGACATGTTATTTTATTTTAGTTATAATAATTATTATAGTATTTTAGTTACAACAATTATTATTTTCCTCGGCGGGGAGCAACCACAATTCTCTTAGCTTGCAGACATCATGTTTCTGAGTTGAGAATCACACACTTCTGTGAAGCTGTAATAAATGAAAAAACTACAGCACCTGATAATCTTCTGTTTAAACAATTCAAAAACATGTTTGAGCAGCCTAATTTTGAGTATAAACCATCTTTGCTAGTTAAATTTTGCTTGGGAAGAAGTTAAAGGAACTGTTGTTGAAAAAGCTGCAATAGAATCTCTTGACTATTGTAGGTTTTACTTATCAAGAAATGATATTGCAAGGGAAGATAGAAAAGAGCTAGCAGAGCTAGTGGTCAGCTATCTCTCTGCTTCTAACATTAAAATTAAAAAGACTGGAGCTATTCACCATGCGAGATTTTTAGGGAAATCTATATACTATTTAAAAATGCAAATTCTTTCAAATCAGATTGATTTTCTTCTAAAAAGTAAAGAACATAGTAAAATAATAACAGAATTTATAGCTTGCTTTTATGCAAAGTGGTATCTGCAATCAAATGATACAATCAAAGCTCCTTACATGGATGTTACTGCCATTCATCAAATGCATCAATATAAAACAGTATGTGCAGAACCAGATGCCGTAAATGCTGTGTTGAATTCTTTATTCAAACATACATGGTATCTAGATTTAACTCTGATTCCTTTAGCTTTGCTGGATGATGACGTTACACTTGAAGAGAAGAAAAAAATTGCTGCTGCAATATTATCATATCCAAAACCAATGCCATGCTATTTTAAAACGAAAATAAACAGAACAAAGACATAAAAAAAATGCTAACACTTGAACTAGACATTCATCAGCAGCCTCCTAGCTTAGCTCCTTTGGTTGACGAATTCTCCTGGTTAATGTTTGAGATGGTTGGAATAGATGAACAGCCAATTGAGGATTGGCTGACCTTGCCACCTTAGTATTGGCACACGCAATCATCGTTTAGATTATTTCTAAAATTTGTAAAAAGTATTGTTTGTGTAAATGACCATGCCGAGAGGGCTATTGGAATGATGCAACAATTTGTTCATCGCTACAGAGATGAGGAAGAAAAACAAAACAGGCTTATTACTGTAGACAAAGTTCGTTCAATTCTCAAGGCATCAGACAGCAAATCGTTATCAACCAATAAAATAAATAAGCAAGTATTAAGCAAGAAAAGAATCACAGATGGATTACTTAACATACGCTCCAAAATACAGAAAATAAATTAAAACAAGTTACAAAAAATTAAAAAAGTTTGTATCATTCAATCAACTTTTATTTTATTCTCAAAAGATTAATTAAAATAAAATTAAATTTCTTTTTGAGACGTTGAACAATGTGATTATATATAAGTCATATAATTGAAGAATTATTATGCATTATTTTGTTAAAAGCGTGTAAAACTTTTTTTTTGCGTATTTTTTTGCAAATTTTTTTTTTATTTAAACAACAATTATTAAAAAACCAGTATACACAACAAACTAAAAAAAAGCTTGGACCATTATGAGCAAAATATAAAAAATTTATTTAGCGCTCAAAGTCAAATTACTATTTGGGGCATTTTTTGGGGTATTTTGCCGCTTGAGCACAAAGTAAATGTCAATATTTAAAATTTTTTTTTTTTAATCCTATTTTTTTCATGTTTGCCCCAAATTTGGCTTATTGTGTATTCTCTTAGCTTGCAGACATCATGTTGCAGACATCATCTCTTAGCTTGCATCACATCATGAAATTTTTTTTTTTGAACACCCGTAATATATATATATATTTATATATATATATATATATATATATATATATATATATATATATATATATATATATATATATATATATATATATATATACATATATATATATATATATATATATATATATATATATATATATATATATATATATATATATATATATATATATATATATATATATATATATATATATATATTAGGTTGACCGGAAAGTAATGTCGTTTTTGCGCATGTTGACATTTGATAATCGTTGGCCAGTTTATTGTGTATCTCGAACACGTGCACAGGTTATTTTTATATTAGTGTGACTTGTTTACTTCTAAATTATTTAAAATTAAATAGTTTTCTTTGCAAATTGGAGTGAAATGGCATACGAAATACAGGATGTGCATATTCGTTATTGTATGCTTTTTGAATTTCGCAAGGGTAATAACGCTACAGTTGCGACTAAGAACATTAGTGATGTTTACCCAGGTTCATTAGATGTTCGCAAATGCCAAAGATGGTTTTCCAAGTTTAGATCTGGGAATTTTGATCTT